TAAATGTGTGTGCTTGTGTTTGTGTGTGTGTGTATATGTTTGTGTGTATATGTTTGTGTGTATATAAACATGTTTTTATATTCATGAATATACGTATATATATATATATCTCAATACTCATACTTAATCAGATACATCACCAGAATCTGGTATTATCGTACATGTAGTGTATTCATAGCATCTGAGTACACGGATCATATAGATGTATTCACACCAGGGATAATGTATTATGCACAGGATATTCCTATACATCACACCTACAGCTTCGTTGTTGCAAGGAAACACGCACATACATATTCACTACCGAACATATCACTCCAGGCATTGGTACAAACCACGTACTACATACGTTGGTGCAAAACACGTACTACATTCATTGGTGCCAAGTACTTCACTGCAGTGGTGCAAAACCGAATAGGCTTCGCTAAAGCAAGTCACGAAAAACAAGTGTTTATGTGTACACGTATATATACACACACACCTGCCGTTATCACAGACCTCAATACGTATCGGCTTTGACACTACGGTTTGAATGCGTTAATAGGTTGTACGCATTGAAGCGTGCTGTAAAGTCTCACCGTCGCAGGCGTGCCTTGGCTAATGCATCAACAGCATATGTAGCTGCGTGTTCATTTGTATGAACTTTAAAGGTACACTTATATAGCACTATCATACACACAATTAATGTAAATGTACACGTATACATCACTCTAACATACATTATATAACATACTTTCGTACACATTCATATACCATACACATCATTAACGTACACATGTTCATCCATCTAACATATTATAATCAACAGACGCATAAGCCACTCTAACCTACATATATCACAACCAATGCCTTACAGAGCCGAGTGGGGTTCATGAGTGCCAACGACAGAGGTTTGGTGGACAATCTCGTGCATGTTTTGGTTGACTATGGTTTAGACTTCCTACCCTTCCGCAATGAAACAGGCTCCTTTGTGTACGAACTGCAACCGTATGTATGCGCGTATGCTTTTTATGCATGTTTGCTTTTTATTGTACGTGTGTTTC